GAAGATGGGTCCTGAAACGCTCGAGGGTCTTCTCCTATGAGAGATAGATAAGCTTAATTAGCTTTTGTCGATATTGAGTTAAGATGGAATCAACTTTGAGCCGAGAAATCTTTTGATGGCCATATATTCGGTCTTGCTTGAAATGAAGCTATAGTGCGTCTAGTTTGCTCGATCAAAGCTAAGAGGCCGCGCGCGAGATCGGGCACTAACGTGAAATACCTTGGAAGAGGTGGCACCTCCAATGTAGGAGGAATTGATTCGACAGATGTTTCCGGTGTTCGCACCACTTATCCAGGTGCTCAAAGGTTTCGCATACACGTCAAATTTGAAAGACTCTGGCGGACTGTGTCCAAGAGTTAAGAGCTTTCAACACAGAAATGTCAACTGATTTAAGACCAGAGGCGGTAACAGTCATTATTCTTCCGGAGGCATCCGAACAAGTGTGACTTACGCCTAAGTTTTCTGCGTTCACCATACCTCTTTTGGAAATGTTGTGGGCGTTGAAATTGATGCAAAGCGGGATGGGTGGCTGGAGAATCATAATTTACGAGCTAGCCAGCGACGATGAACCTCAGGCAGGATGGCGGAGAAGATAGAAAGATCTAAGTTGTCAAACATCTCCGTAATACCTACAGAGTTTTATCTGCAGTAGTACCAAACGTTTGCATCAAATTGCTCTCGGCCGAGGGATACGAAGGGTTGCTATCATGCAGCAGACGACGAGTACCTAGCTAGAAAGCGCTGAGTCTTAGTAGGCGCAAAGTGGTCTTCTAGAATAACTGAAATTTTTGGTACCTCTTGGAAGTCAAATTCGGTGGGCTGAGCGTTTTAATCCGCAATCCTTTGATAAAGGTGGGGATGACATCCCAGGGTTACTGGTTGTTAATTACGACGTCTCGGGTCTTGTGATGCCGTTGAAAGTCTTGATAGAGTGCGGCGGGACAAATTAATAGTAGATAGTACGTTTAAGAGCTGAAAATGCCAAATTCGGATACTACATCAGGGCCTCTTGGGACAACCCCCATCGGTAAATTTGTCGATATTTATTTATGGACTCAAGTAAAGGTAGAGGTATCTGCCAGCGTGAAATGTTGTTAAGGTATAGTGTGGTAAAGCGCCACAATGGTTGACTGAAAATCAAAAATTATATTCCACGCGCCTTTTTCCTGAAAGACTTGTGGTGAGTTATAAACTCATGACTATCAAGAAA